CCTAAGAGAGGCCTACCATCTAGGTAGGTAGGTAGGTAGATAAGAGTGATGGACCTAAGAGAGGCCTACCATTTAGGTAGGTAGGTAGGTAGATAAGAGTGATGGACCTAAGGGAGGCCTACCATCTAGGTAGGTAGGTAGGTGAGTAATGGACCTAAGAGAGGCCTACCTTCAGGTCTCAATAGATAAAACTTCCCAAGCCTATTCTATGGCCAGACGTCAACCATGGAGTTGACCAAATCTGTAATGGTGAAACTAACAAACTCGGAGGGTCAATAGGGTCCCAATAGTTAGATCGATGATAGAGTGATGGACCTAAGAGAAGTTTATCTTCAGTCCCAATAGATAGGTGAGAGAGTGATAGATCTAAGGGGGGCCTACCTTCAGGTCCCAATAGATAGATGAGTGATGGACCTAAGAAAGGTCTACCTTCAGTCCCAATAGATAGATGAGAGAGTGATAGACCTAAGAGAGGCCTACCTAAATATAGATATAACACTTAAGTGGCTGAAGGGGAAAATGAGGGGCGTGAGGCTGTTAGGAATGGTGGGAGTTGGGATCCAAAACACCTGGAGGGCTGAAGCTGGCCCATGCATGGTCTACACAGTAGAATGAATGCAGCTCCACAATATGAAGTGATACAAACATGGGTCGAGATATGGACAGAGGATTGAAACTGCAACGAGACAGACACTGGATGAACTCAGTCAAAAAAGAAGCGCCTTTATTCAAAACAGTGTTGTATTAATACCCCCCTTGGCTTCCTTTTGGCTTTTTGTGAGCGAAACCTAAACCCAGCAAAGGGCTGGCACAGTATAACAAACAGTATTATTGGCTGGAGTGTTCTGGGAGTTGTAGTACACCGAGATCAACTCTGCCACTCTCTGCATTGCAAGAACAAGAAAGGAAAGGGGACCCCTGCTGGTCAAACAAAGGCACAGCAGGCACAGCTCTATTTATTGTGTCAGAAGTGAATTGAGAATAGTTAAAGATGTATTTAAAAACACACACAGTTTGCGATACTAAATGTCCTTTGAGCAGAAGCTGGCCAGTCGGAGTGTGAGAAGGTCCTCCGTTGTGCATGTGGCAGGGCTCAGACCGCATTGTAGTCAGTGTCACATCCTCAGCTGCTGCAAGAAGATCACAGACAGACTCCAAGCAGAGGCACAACACCCTTGCTCAGAAGATCCATTGGAACTGGTGCCACAAAGACCTCCTGCCTGCGACAAAGAATTGGTGGGATCACAAGCAAGGAATAGTTACGGAAAACAAACACGTCAAACTCCTCTGGGACTTCCGAATTCAGACCGACAGACTTTTGGAGCACAAGAAACCTGACCTCAATGTGGATCATCGTTGTTGCAATCCCAGCAGAATGGACGAGAAGCCACTGGAAAAGCTGGCACAATATGAGGATCTGAAGATCGAACTGCAAAGACAGTCAAGGGGGTCCCAGTGGTGATCCACACACTGGGCGCAGTGCCTCAAGACCTTGGCCTGCACTTAACAACAATCGGCACTGACAAAATCACCACCTGTCAGCGGCATCATTCACTGATACATCACACAGTCCTAAACACTTGGGAAGCGTCCGACGTGTGATCCAACACAACAGCCAGGAGAGTGACCTTGTTTGCTGTGTGCCAATCTTGTTGTGTTTCTAATAATAATAATAATAATAATAATAATAATAATAGTGTCCGACGTGTGATCCAATACAACAGCAGAGTGACCTTGTTTGCTGTGTGCCAATCTAGTTGTGTATTTAATAGTAGTAGTAGTAATAATAATAATAATAATAATAATAGTGTCAGACGTGTGATCCAATACACAGCCAGGAGAGTGACTTTGTTTGCTGTGTGCCAATCTTGTTGTGTATCTAATAATAATAATAATAATAATAATAATAATAATAATAATGTGTCAGACGTGTGATCCAACACAACAGCCAGCAGAGTGACCTTGTTTGCTGTGTGCCAATCTTGTTGTGTATCTAATAATAATAATAATAATAATAATAATAATAGTGTCCGACGTGTGATCCAATACAACAGCCTTGTTTGCTGTGGACTCATCTTGTTGTGTTTCAAATAATAATAATAATAACAACGACAACAAGAACATCATCACACAGTCGTAGACGCTTGGGAAGTGTTCGACTTGTGATTTTGTGATCTGAAATCCAGCATATAGATCTTGTTTGCTGTGACATACTGTGCTTTTGTGTCAATAATAATAATGATAACAATAATAATAATCCCACTTTTTAATGTTTTAATAAATTTCATTCAGGGCAGAGGAATGAGTTCCACGTAAAGGCCCAATAGGAAGGCGCTCTTCTTCTTGGAGAGAGAGAGAGAGAGAGAGAGAGAGAAGGGTAAATAAATTAAGGAGGCCAGAGAGTGTTGTCCTATGTACACAAAGGGGTGGAGGGCGTCCTCAGAGGGTGCTCTCCAGCGTGTTGTAGTTGTCCTTGAAGCTCTTGAGCTCCAGGAAGTGCTTGGGCCGCTTGCTCTTCTGGCTGGACGGCAGGTAGGTCACCTGGATGGTGGGGCCCGAGAGGTCCGGAGACAGCGTCAGGTCCTTGGCTGCCGACTGGTGCTGCCGCTGGCTCCCACCGCCCCGGGCCTTGATGCTGCAGGCACAGAGAGAGAGAGAGAGAGAGACAAGGGCACTCAGGGGGTCCCCCAAAGGCCATCCAGTCCAGCCCCCTTCGGCCAGGAAGGACGACACCATCCGATCCATCCCACTCAGCCTCTAATCCCTCTAGCGAAGGAGACTGCATCACACTGCAAGGCACTCTACCTTCCACGACAATGGGAAGGGATCCCCAAAGACCATCCAGTCCAGAGTAGATAGATAGATGATAGAGTGATGGACCTAAGAGAGGCCTACCTCCAGATCCCGATAGATAGATAGATAGATAGATAGATAGATCACTGATGGATTTAAAAGAGGCCTACCTTCATGTCCTGATAGATAGATGGACAGACAGACAGTCAGACAGATGAGTGATGGACCTAAGAGAGGCCTACCTTAAGGTCCCAAGAGATAGATAGATAAATAGATAAATGAGTGATGGACTTAAGGGAGGCCTAGCTTCAGGCAATTATAGATAGATAGATAGATAGATAGATAGATAGATAGATGATAGAGTGATGGACCTAAGAGAGGCCTACCTCCAGATCCCGATAGATAGATAGATAGATAGAAAGATCACTGATGGATTTAAAAGAGGCCTACCTTCATGTCCTGATAGATAGATGGACAGACAGACAGTCAGACAGATGAGTGATGGACCTAAGAGAGGCCTACCTTAAGGTCCCAAGAGATAGATAGATAAATAGATAAATGAGTGATGGACTTAAGGGAGGCCTAGCTTCAGGCAATTATAGATAGATAGATAGATAGATAGATAGATAGATAGATAGATGATAGAGTGATGGACCTAAGAGAGGCCTACCTCCAGATCCCGATAGATAGATAGATAGATAGATAGATAGATCACTGATGGATTTAAAAGAGGCCTACCTTCATGTCCTGATAGATAGATGGACAGACAGACAGTCAGACAGATGAGTGATGGACCTAAGAGAGGCCTACCTTAAGGTCCCAAGAGATAGATAGATAAACAGATAGATGATGGACCTAAGGGAGGCCTACCTTCATGTCCCAATAGATAAATAGATAGATGGACAGATAGATAGATAGATAGATAGATGATAGAGTGATGGACCTAAGAGAGGCCTACCTCCAGATCCCGATAGATAGATAGATAGATAGATAGATAGATAGATAGATAGATAGAAGTTGGAAGGGGCCCCAAAGAAACCCCATATAGTCCAACCCCCTTCTGCCATAATAAGTAGGTAGGTAGGCAGATAATAGAATGATGGACTTAAGGGAGGCCTAGCTTCAGGCAATTATAGATAGATAGATAGATAGATAGATAGGGGCCCCAAAGGCGGCCGTCCAGTCGACCCCCTTCTGCCATAATAGGTAGGTAGGTAGGTAGATAGATAATAGAATAATGGACCTAAGAGAGGCCTACCTTCAGGTTCCGATAGATAGATAGAACCCTAGAGTTGGAAGGGGCCCCAAAGAAGGCCATCCAGTCCAACCCCCTTCTGCCATAATAGATAGGTAGGTAGGTAAATAATAGTGAAGGACTACCTCCAGGTCCCGACAGATAGATAGAAGAGTGATAGACCTAAGAGAAGCCTACCTCCAGGTCCCAATAGATACATAGATACATAGAATCCTGTAGTTGGAAGGGACCCCAAGGAAGGTCATCTAGTCCAACCCCCTTCCGCCATAATAAGTAGGTAGGTAGGCAGATAATAGAATGATGGACTTAAGGGAGGCCTAGCTTCAGGTCCCAATAGATAGATCAACATAAGAGATGCCTACCTATCTATTCAGGTCCCGATAAATAAATAGATAGATGAGAGAGTGATGGACCTAAGAGAGGCCTACCTCCAGGTCTCGACAGACAGACAGAATCCTGGAGTTCGAAGGGGCCCCAAGCAAGGTCATCTAGTCCAACCCCCTTCTGCCATAATAGATAGATAGATAGATAGATGTCCCCAAGGCCATCCAGCCCACCCCTTTCTGTCATAATAGGTAGGTAGTAGATAGAATCCTGGAATTGGAAGGGCCCCCAAATAAGGTCATCTAGTTCAATCCCCTTCTACCATAATAGATAGAATTCTAGAGTTGGAAGGGGCCCCAAAGGTCGTCATCCAGTCCAACCCTCTTCTGCCGGGTAGGACACCATCTGATCCCTCCCAAAATATGGTCATCCAACCTTGGGTTAAAGACCTCTAGCAAAGGAGACTCCACCAGAGTCTATATTCTTTTACAATCAGGACCCCCAAAAGCCCACCCAGCTTATCCCCCTTTTGTGATGCAGGGACGCACCATCCGATCCCTCCTGACAGATGGCCACCCAGCCTCTGCTTATAATCCACTCGAGAAGGAGACTCCCACCCAGGCCACCTGTTCTCCAGCAGCATTGACAGCCAGGAAGGTCTTCCCAATGAATCGGAGGCCCCTCCCTGATGGACCCCCAGCACCCCAACTCACATGGCAGCCAGCTCGAACAGCGCTTCCTGGTACTTGAGGTATTCCGCCTTTCCGAAGGTCTGGTAAAGATAAATAGATACGATGAGGGGTGGGGAGAGGGGAGAGGGCTTGGGACCCCGACCCGGCCTTGCCTGCACTGACCCCGGTGCCGCAGCGGGCGCAGTCGTAGCCGTCCAGGAGGGTGTCCAGCAGGCTCTTGCGGACGCCCTTGAAGGGGGTGCTGGCGTTGCGCAGGTCCACCAGGTACGAGCGGAAGTTCTTCCCAATCAGGGACTTGGGGTGCCGGCCCTCGGCCGAGAACGGGATCTCTACGCGGAGGACAAAGAGAGAGAGAATGGTGGCCTCACTCAATCACCCATCCCAGGATGGCACAGCATTGAGATACACAAACCTGATAGACAGACAGACAGGTAAAACTATGTCACACAACGGGTTGTTGTACGTTTTTTGAGCTTCCAGAAGCATTCTCTCCTGACATTTCACCTACATCTATAGCAGGCATCCTCAGGGGTTGTGAGGTCTCACAACCTGCTGTACGTGTGGGTGAAATGTCAGGAGAGAATGCTTCTGGAACATGGCCACACAGCCCAAAAAACGTACAATCCAGTGATTCCATCCACGAAAGTCTTCAACAATATGTATGCAACCCAATTTTTGTTCCTGGGTTATCAATGCCATTTCCTAATTGAGACTATCGCAAAGCCCTATTCAGTAACAATTGGCGGGCCACATATACAGGATAAAACAATTAAAAGACTGCTAATGTCTATGATGCTGGATGGCCATCTGTCAGGAGCGCATGGATTGTGCCTTCCTTAGTGGCAGAAGGGGGTTGGACTGGATGGCCTTAGGGGATCACTTCAAAGTCTGTCTGACTGTCTGTCTATCTATCTATCTATCTATCTATCTATCTATCTATCTATTATAGCAGACTGGATGGTCTTTGGGGGCCCCTTCCAACTTTAGGATTCTATCTATCTATCATAGCAGAAGGGGGTTGGACTGGATGGCCTTTGGGAGTCCCAACTCTAGGATTCTATCTATCTATCTATCTATCTATCTATCTATCTATGCATTTATCCACCTTTAGGATTCAATAATAATAATAATAATAACAACAATAATAACAATTTATCTGTAACCCACGCTATATCTCCAGGGGGAAATATACATCCTATACATCCATAGCTCTGTTTCTCAATTATTCTAGTGCTTATGAGGCTGAGTGGCCATCTGTTGTGAGGGATCGGATTGTGTCTGTCTATCTATCAATGGATCTGTCTATCATAGGAGAAGGGGGTTGGACTGGATGGCCTTCTTTGTGGCCCTTTTCAACACTAGGATTCTATCTATCTGTGGATCTATCTATTCATCATAGCAGAAGGGGGTTGGACTGGATGGCCTTTGGGGGTCCCTTCCAACTCTAGGATTCTATCCATCCATCCACCCACCCATCCATCCATCCATGAATCTATCTATCTAGGCATCTATCCACCTTTAGGATTCTATAAAATTAATAATAATAATAATAATAATAATAATAATAATAATATATTTGCAACCTGCCCTATCTCCCCAGGCAGACTTATACATCCTCCATAGCCCTGTTTCTCAATTATTCTAGAGCCTATGAGGCTGTGTGGCCACCAGTTGGGAGGGATTGGATTGTATCTATCTATCTATCTATCTATCTATCTATCTATCCATCCATGTATCTATCTATGGATCTATCTATCTATCATAGCAGAAGGGGATTGGACTGGATGGCCTTTAGGGGTCCCTTCCAACTCTATCTATGCCTCTATCCACCTTTAAGATTCTATAACAATAATAATAATAATAATAATAATAATAATAATAATATTTCTTTGCAACTGCCCTATCTCCCCAGGGGGACTCATGCATCCTATACATCCATAGCCCTGTTTCTCAATTATTCTAGTGTCTATGAGGCTGGGTGGCCATCTGTCGGGAAGGATCGGATTGTGTGATCTATCTATCTATCTATCTATCTATCTATCTATTATGCTTGGGCGGTTTTGTTCGTTAATTTTGTAATTCGTTATTAATTCGTATTTAAATTAGCTTACGATCCAATATTGAGCCATACAGGAATTGTGTGAGGAGTAATAAAGATTCGAAACATTTTTTTCAATTTATTTCGTTATTATTTCGTAATTATTTTGTAATTATTTTGGCATGCCTGGTGCAAGTTTTATAGTTGTTGTTTGTTTTATCACACCAACAGTCAACAACAGAGGGAGAGGGAAGCTTCAGAAGTTCCCCCTCTCCCATTTGGAGGTTTTTTTTTTAGCATATTGCACAATCGCGTCCGCCATTAACGAATCGATTCGTAATTATACGAAATTTCATATATTTTGAAATTTTTAAAAGGAAAATTTCGGAATTATTAAAAAAAACGAAACGCAAGGGCCCCCTAAAAGCAAAACGAGTTTAGAACCAAATTTTTCCGTGGTTACCCAAGCCTACCATCTATCTATCTATCTATCTATCTATCTATCTATGGATCTATCTATCATAGCAGAAGGGGGGGTTGGACTGGATGGCCTTAGGGGGTCCCTTCCACCTCTCGGATTCTATTCCACAAATCTCTGTCCGCACGCCCGACTTCCACCACCAGATTGTGCCTCACCGGACTCTCGAACAGCATCCAGGGCCTTCATCCTGTAGACGTAGTTGTAGGAGCCTGCAAGGAAGCCAGGGGCCCGAGTCAATGTGGCAGAGGATGCCGAGGGGCCGTTATAACCCCCCCACGGTCCCCCCCCCAAACCAGGAGCCCCGGGGACCGGCAATACGCTACATGGGCTGCGGGGAGACTCCAGTTGCAGGAGGCGGGCGTCATCCGGGGCCAGCAGCTGGGGCTCGTACTTGATGTCCTGCACTCGGGAGAGGCGCAGCTCAATCTCGTCCTTCAGGCCCTGCGCGCAAAGAAAGGCAGACACAACATTATGGTCAGCAGTATTTTATTTCTAATAATAATAATAATAAGAAGAAGAATAACCTGAAGACGCAGGTTGGCAGCTTGGGTGTGACCCTGGACTCATCGCTGAGCCTGGAACCCCAGGTTTCGGCGGTGACCAGGGGAGCATTTGCACAGCTAAAGCTTGTGCGCCAGCTGCGCCCGTACCTTGGGAAGTCTGACTTGGCCACGGTAGTCCACGCTCTGGTTACATCCCGTTTAGACTACTGCAACGCTCTCTATGTGGGGTTGCCTTTGAAGACAGCTCGGAAGCTCCAACTAGTCCAACGCTCGGCAGCCATGATTTTAACAGGAGCGGAGCGCAGGGAGCATACAACCCCCCTGTTGCGCCAACTCCACTGGCTACTGATCTGCTACCGGGCTGAATTCAAAGTGCTGGCGTTGGCCTTTAAAGCCCTAAACGGTTCCGGCCCAAGCTACCTATCTGACCGCATCTCTGCCTATGAACCCACCAGGACTTTGAGATCTTCCGGGGAGACCCTGCTCTCGATCCCGCCTGCTTCTCAAGCTCGGCTGGCGGGGACGAGAGATAGGGCCTTCTCGGTGGTGGCTCCTCGGCTGTGGAACGCCCTTCCTACGGACATTAGACTAGCACCATCTCTAATGGTATTCCGCAAAAAAGTGAAGACCTGGCTGTTTGAGCAGGCGTTCGAATAATTAGTGCAATGATTGGTTAATGAACACTGGAATGGAACAATGGATGACGAATCTGGAACATGTTTTTGATGACGAGACGACAGTGAATGGGTATTGTAGTAACTGTTTATTAATTGTGTAATGTGTTAGGTTGTTAACTGTCTCTATACTGTAGCACTGAATTTTTGCTGTTCGTATTTGTTGTGAACCGCTGTGAGTCACCTTCGGGCTGAGAACAGCCGTATAGAAGTCAGGTAAATAAATAAATAAATAAATAATAATATGGCTCATCAACCAAATGGTGGTAAACTACTGTAAGATGTGGCCAGGCTGTAAACAATAGGACAAGGGAATGGGATAATGCAGTGTTTCTCAACCTGGGGGTCAGGACCCCTGGGGGGGGGGGTTGCAAGGGGGTTTCAGAGGGGTCGTCAAAGACCATCAGAAAACATATATTTCTGATGGTGTTAGGAACCCCTTTGGCAGAGAAGGCTGAAGATCTCTCCACCTGTCCTTCTCTTCCTTTTTGGTGCTGGTGAACTACAACTCCCAGAATTCAAAGACATCTCCACCCAACGTCATCAATATTCAATGTTAGTCATTTAGGTAGTTTGCCAAGTTTGGCGCAGATCCATTGTGGGCTGGGTTCAGAGTGCTCTCTGGTTGTAGGTTAACTACAACTCCCAGCAACTACAACTCCCAAATGTCAAAGTCTATTTCCCCCAAACTCCACTAGTATTCACATCTGGGCATATTGGGTATTTGTGCCAAGTTTGGTCCAGATCCATCATTGTTCGAGTCCACAGTGCTCTCTGGATGTAGGTGAACTACAACTCCAAAACTCAAGGTCAATGCCCACCAAACCCTTAGTGTTTTCTGTTGGTCAGGGGAGTTCTGTGTGCCAAGTTTGGTTCAATTCCATCATTGGTGGAGTTCAGAATGCTCTTTGATTGTAGGTGAACTATAAATCCCATTCGTGGGAGTTCTGTGTGCCAAGTTTGGTTCAATTCCATCATTGGTGGAGTTCAGAATGCTCTTTGATTGTAGGTGAACTATAAATCCCATTCGTGGGAGTTCTGTGTGCCAAGTTTGGTTCAATTCCATCATTGGTGGAGTTCAGAATGCTCTTTGATTGTAGGTGAACTATAAATCCCATTCGTGGGAGTTCTGTGTGCCAAGTTTGGTTCAATTCCATCATTGGTGGAGTTCAGAATGCTCTTTGATTGTAGGTGAACTATAAATCCCTTCGTGGGAGTTCTGTGTGCCAAGTTTGGTTCAATTCCATCATTGGTAGAGTTCAGAATGCTCTTTGATTGTAGGTGAACTATAAATCCCATTCGTGGGAGTTCTGTGTGCCAAGTTTGGTTCAATTCCATCATTGGTGGAGTTCAGAATGCTCTTTGATTGTAGGTGAACTATAAATCCCTTCGTGGGAGTTCTGTGTGCCAAGTTTGGTTCAATTCCATCATTGGTAGAGTTCAGAATGCTCTTTGATTGTAGGTGAACTATAAATCCCATTCGTGGGAGTTCTGTGTGCCAAGTTTGGTTCAATTCCATCATTGGTGGAGTTCAGAATGCTCTTTGATTGTAGGTGAACTATAAATCCCATTCGTGGGAGTTCTGTGTGCCAAGTTTGGTTCAATTCCATCATTGGTGGAGTTCAGAATGCTCTTTGATTGTAGGTGAACTATAAATCCCTTCGTGGGAGTTCTGTGTGCCAAGTTTGGTTCAATTCCATCATTGGTAGAGTTCAGAATGCTCTTTGATTGTAGGTGAACTATAAATCCCATTTGTGGGAGTTCTGTGTGCCAAGTTTGGTTCAATTCCATCATTGGTGGAGTTCAGAATGCTCTTTGATTGTAGGTGAACTATAAATCCCATTCGTGGGAGTTCTGTGTGCCAAGTTTGGTTCAATTCCATCATTGGTGGAGTTCAGAATGCTCTTTGATTGTAGGTGAACTATAAATCCCATTTGTGGGAGTTCTGTGTGCCAAGTTTGGTTCAATTCCATCATTGGTGGAGTTCAGAATGCTCTTTGATTGTAGGTGAACTATAAATCCCATTTGTGGGAGTTCTGTGTGCCAAGTTTGGTTCAATTCCATCATTGGTGGAGTTCAGAATGCTCTTTGATTGTAGGTGAACCATAAATCCCGGCAACTACAACTCCCAAATGACAAAATCAATACTCCTACCAATATTCAGATAATAACGTTATGGTTGGGGGTCACCACAGCATGAGGAACTCTATTAAGGGGTCGCGGCATTAGGAAGGTGGAGAACCACTGGGATCATGGGTTTGGGTGATGCCTTCTTGCCCGGCCAATGGGGTTTGGGTCTAGATGGCCTTTGGGGTTCCCTTCCCACGCTAGGATCTTGCAATGCCAGGCCCATATTGTACTTTTTGCTTTAGTCGTGTGCCTTTAAGGCGTTTCAATGTACGCTATTGGTAAACGTAAGGGAATTCAAGAGAAATGCAAGCCAACCTTGGGGGCGTGCTGTCCCACCGGAACGTGGGGGCCTCGGCGGGACTTCATGGCAAAGCGCATGATCTGCCTCTTGACGAAGATGAAGAGCAGCACAAAGACCTGGAGGAGGACAGGAATGATGGTAACAACAACAACAATAAGTGTTATTATTATTATTATGCAGGGGTGGATGGCCATCTGTCGGGAGGGCTTGGATTGTGTTTTTCCTGCCTGGCCAAAGGGGGTTGGGCTAGATGCCCTCTGGGGTCCCTTCCAACTCTAGCATTCTATTATCATCCTTATTATTATTAAGCAAGGGCTGAGTGTCCATCTGTTGGGAGGGCTTTGATCATGTCTTCCCACGTAAAGGCAGAAGGGGGTTGGACTGGATGCCCTTTAGGGGTCCCTTTGGACTCTAGTATTCTATATTTCTATTATTCTTATCATAGAAAGTCTAGCATTCTATAATTATTACTGACAAGGGGCTGGATAGCCATCTGTGGGGAGGGATTGAGCTGTGCCTTTCTTTCCTGTCAGAAGGGGGTTGGACTAGGTGCCCTTTGGCGGTCCCAACTCTAGCATTCTCTGGCATTATTCCTTATTATGCAGTAGCTGGATGGCCACCTGTGGGGAGGGCTTTGTTTGTGCCTTCCCACATGAAGGCAGAAGTGGGTTGGACTGGATGCCCTTTGGGGACTCCCTTCCAAGTCTCGGATTGTATTATTATTATTATTGAGCAGGGACTGGATGGCCATCTGCGGGGAGGGATTGAGTGGTGCCTCTCCTTCCTGGCAGAAGGGGCTTGGACTGGATGCCCTTTGGGGGTCCCTCCCAACTCTAGGATTCTGTTATTAAGCAGGGACTGGATGGCCATCTGTGGAGAGGGATTGGTATCATGATGATGATGAAGTGGGCTGGATGGCCACCTGTCGGGAGGGCTTTGATTGTGCCTCTCCTTCCTGGCAGAAGGGGCTTGGACTGGATGGCCACCTGTGGAGAGGGCTTTGCTTGTGGCTTCCCACATGAAGTCAGAAGGGGGTTGGACTGGATGGCCCTTGGGGGGGTTCCCTCCCAACTCTAGGATCCTATTATTATTATTATTATTATTATTATTGAGTAGGGACTGGATGGCCATCTGTGGAGAAGGATTGGTATGATGATGATGATGTTGGCTGGATGGCCATCTGTCGGGAGGGCTTTGTTTGTGCCTCTCCTTCCTGGCAGAAGAGGGTTGGACTGGATGCCCTTTGGGGGTTCCCTCCCAACTCTAGGATCCTATTATTATTATTATTATTATTGAGCAGGGGCTGGATGGCCCTCTGTGGGGAGGGATTGAGTGGTGCCTTTCCTTCCTAGAAGGGGGTTGGACTGGCTGCCCTTTGGGGTCCTCTCCCCACTCTAGGATCCTCTCCTTCTGCCTCTCGGGGCCCTGTTTGGCTTCCCGCGGCCTTTTGTCCTCACCAGGCTGCCGTAGGCCATGAACAGCACCACATTCACGCCGGAAAGCCAGTTGCTGGAAGAGGAAGAGGAAGAAGAGGAGGAAGAAGAAGAAGAGGAAGGCAGCGAGGAAGACGACGAAGGGCGGGAGGAAGGCGGCGAGGAAGAGGAGGAAGAGGAAGAGGCCGCCATCCCGGCGCCCTGAGGGCCCCCGCGCAACATGGCCGACGCCCCCGTCACGTGACGCTTAGGATTGAGAGGAAAAAATCACGTGATACATTGAATCCAGCCCCACTTCCGGGTTTGTGGCCCAGTCGCACGAGAGCCGGAAGTGATTCAAAACACACAAAAGGACTTCACCTCTTTGGAATTTGACAAGCTGGAAACCGTAAGCCACGCCCCCTTCCCCCTTCCCCTTCAATCTCAATGTGAACATAGAAAGGGGAAATCACGTGATTCATTGAATCACGCCCCACTTCCGGGTTTGTGGCCCAGCCGCACGAGGGCCGGAAGTGACTCGACACACAAAAGAACTTCACCTCTTTGGAATTTGACAAGATGGAACCCGTAAGCCCCGCCTCTCTCCTCCTTCAGTCTCAATAGAAAGGGGGCGGAGCTTTAGACGGAAGCCACGCCCCTCTTCTTCAATCTCAATAGAACGGGGGCGGGGCTTTAGACGGAAGCCACGCCCCTCTTCTCCTTCAATCTCAATAGAAAGGGGGGCGGAGCTTTAGACGGAAGCTACGCCCCTCTTCTCCTCCAATCTCAATAGAAAAGGGGCGGAGCTTTAGACGGAAGCCACGCCCACTACGTGGGAAACAAACCCTGGGAAGGCCAAAAGGGGGCGTGGCGGAGGATTTTTTTCCCCTTTCCTCTTTCCTCCCCTGTCACGTGACGCGAAGCCGCTCCTGTTTCCCCCCGTGTCACGTGACGATAGAAAAGGGGCGTTCCGGGCCTGGCTTCCCGTCAGTGTGTGTGGCGGCGGCGGCGGAGGAGGAGGGAGCGGCGGAGGAGGAGACGCAGGTGAGGCGGAAAGGAAGGAAGGAAGGAAGGAAGGGGCGCCTTTAAGGCCAGGCCCCGCCCCCTCCATTTCCTCCCAGAGAGAGAGATCCCCCCCCCCTCTCTCTTTCTGTATATAGTGGTTTCGGAGAAGGAAGGAGAAGCCCTGAGAGGAACACCTAGAGGCAATCTATACATACATAGAGATATAGAGAGAGAGATCCTCACCGGTTAGTATGGAGAAGCCCTCTGTCGGCGAGAGGAAGGGAGGGAGAGAAGGGGGCGTGAGGAGGAGGGCAGTTCCGGTCTGGAGCTCCGCTGCGGCCTAGTCGGCCGGGCTGAAGCCGGGGGCTCGCCTAGCGCGCGCGGCCGGCCGGAAGTGAGGGGGCGGCCGGCTTTCGAACCGGACCTTTCCCCTCCCCGGAAATATTTCTTTATTTATGCATAATACATATCCTGTCTTCATTCCCTTCGGCTTCCAATACTTCCTTCCCTCCTTTACAGTAACTTTATGTGTGTGTGTGTGTATATATATATATATATATATATATATTTCTGTAATTATTACCGTAATTATATTTATATATATATAAATCATACTTATTCTCTTTACAGTAATTATATATATCTATCTATCTATCTAATCTATCTACATATTCTGTAATTATTACCGTATTTATATATATATATATATATAATATTTATTATCTTTGAATTCCTCTCCTCTCTCTCCCTTTACCGTAATATATATATATTAGTCTCTCTCTCTCTCTCTCTCTCTCTATATATATATATATTCTTTATTCCCTTCGACTTCCACTACTTTCTTCCCTCCTTTACAGTAATTTTATATGTATATATATACTGTAATTATTACCATAATTATATTTATTCCCTTCGACTTCCTCTCCTCCCCTCTCTCCCTTTACTGTAATACATATATATAGTCTCTCTATAAATATATATTCTGTATTTATTCCCTTCAACTTCCAATACTTTCTTCCCTCCTTTACAGTAACTTTATATGTATGTATGTATGTGTGTGTGTGTGTATATATATATATATATATATATAAAATGTAATTATTACCGTAATTATATTTATTTATAAAAATAATACTTATTCAACTTCCTTTCCTTCCCTCCCTCTCTTTACTGTTATATATATATATATAGAGAGAGAGAGAGTCTTTCTCTCTATAAATATATATTCTGTATTTATTCCCTTCGACTTCCAGTCCTTTCTTCCCTCCTTTACAGTAATTTTATGTGTATATACTGTAATTATTACCGTAATTATATTTATATATATAAATAATACTTATTCTCTTCAATTTCCTCTCCTTCCCTCTCTCCCTTTACCGTTATATATATACACTCTCTCTATATATATTTATATATTCTGTATTTATTCCCTTCGACTTCCAGTCCTTTCTTCCCTCATTTACAGTAATTTTATTCTGTAACTATTACTGTAATTATATATATATATATATCTTATTCTCTTCGACCTTCTCCTTCCCTCTGTCACTTTACCGTAATATATATATAGTCTCTCTCTCTCCCCATAAATATATATTTTGTATTTATTCCCTTGACTTTCAGTACTTTCTTCCCTCCTTTACATTAATTTTATATTCTGTAATTATTGCCGTAATTATATTTATATATATAAATAATACTTATGCTCTTCCTCTCCTTCCCTCTCTCCCTTTACCGTAATATATATATATATATATATAGTCTCTCTCTCTCTCTCGCTCTCTAAATATATATTCTGTCTTTATTCCCTTCGACTTCCAGTACTTTTCTTCCCTCCTTTACAGTAACTTTATATGTGTATATGTATAATATATATCTGTAATTATTACCGTAATTATATTTATATATATAAATAATACTAATTCTCTTCAACTTCCTTTCCTTCCCTCTCTCCCTTTACCATTATATTTATACACTCTGTATTTATTCCCTTCGACTTCCAGTCCTTTCCTCCCTCATTTACAGTAATTTTATTCTGTAATTATTACCGTAATTTTATATATATATATATATATAATACTTATTCTCTTCAACTTCCTCTCCTTCCCTCTCTCCCTTTACTGTAATATATACATATATATACATATATATGTGTATATATAGTCTCTCTCTCTATATATATATATTTATATATATTCTGTATTTATTCCCTTCGATTTCTTGTACTTTCTTCCCTCCTTTACAATACTTATATATATGTGTGTATTATTTATTACCGTAATTATATATAATATTTATTCCCTTCGACTTCCCGTCCTTCCTTCCTTCCCTCCCTCCCTTTATTGTATTTATTTATTTAAGACATTTATCTGCCACCCTTCTCACCCCGAGCGGCTTACAAGTAAAAAGAAAATACAATATATTATATTATTAGCATATCACAATATTAATACTATTTATTACATTGTACTATAACATTATACTGCAATATTATTAGGAATATTACGTTTAATATACAATATATTATATGATATAGTCTATATATAGTCTGTATTTCTTTCTTTTGTCTTCCCATCCTTCCTTCCCTCCACTATAATATATATTTGTGTGTGTGTGTGTGTATACACACTATATTATCATATTATATACACTTCCTCTATACATATTCTATATTTATTCCTTTCCACTTCCAGTCCTTCCTCCTCTCCCTTTACCATAATTATATATACTTTATTCTGTATTTATTATCACAATTCAGTCTCTCTCTATATATATTCTATATTGATTCTTTCAAATTCCCATCCTTCCTTCCCTCCACCGTAAATATTCATACATACATACATACATTCTATATTACCACAATACTCTCTCTCTCTCTCTCTCTCTATATATATATATATATATAATTTATTCCTTTTGACTTCCTTCTCTCCCTTTACTGTGATTATATTTATTTCTATATTTATGACTCTAATGTTTTTATATATATAATATCTGCTCTCTCTATATATATATGTTCTATATTCATTCCCTTCGCCTTCCTCTCCTTCCTTCCCTCCCTTTACTATAAATATAGAATGCCAAGTCTGCAAATTTAGTGTTTTCTTTGTTTGTTTGTCTGTTTTTTAAATGCAATACAACTATTTTGGTTCGCTCCTGACAGTAGATAAATAACTATAAATATAGATAGATAGATAGATAGATAGATAGATAGATTGGATACTCTACCTTAGTTGGCTTTGAATGGCTTTAATGCTGATTATTTAATGATAATTATTTAAATCACTTGTTTTGATTCGTCGTGTAATGTATCTTATGGTTTGTTGTTTATATATTTATTTTTGTTTTATACAGGCAATGCATGCTTACCTTTTATTGTGTTGGAAGCCGCCCTGAGTCCCTTTGGAGTGATAGGGCGCACTATAAATAGAGTATTGTTATTACTATATAGTATTTAATCACTTTGACTTCCCGTCCTTCCTTCCTTCCTTCCTTCCCTTTATTCCTTCCTTCCTTCCTTTCCTACCTTCTTTTCTTCCCCTGTCTTGTTTGTTGTGTTTCTTCCCCTTTGCCCCACCTTCAATATATTCTATATATTTCTCTCGCTCTCTCCATATATATATTGTTATTGTTTTGCTATGAGTTATTTATTGTTGTATTGTTGTTGTTGTGTTTATTGTCTCTGATGTATTTGGGCTCGACCTCTTGTAAGCCGCACCGAGTCCTGCGGGATAGGTAGCGGGGTATAAATAAAGGTTTATTATTATTACTATTATATATTTTATTTATTTATTTCCTGTATTTATACCCCGCCCTTCTACCTTATTTCTGTCATAGCTTCTAAGGTGTAAATATAACACAGCCCCGCCCTTCTACCTTATTTCTGTAATAGAATCCAAACTCAAAGATCTGTTGAGAGGCTTTATTGCAGGCCTGGGCCAACTTTGGCCCTCCCTCCAGCTGTTTTGGACTCCCAATTCCCACAATTCCTAACAGTCTACCCATCCAAAACAGCCGGAGTTTGGGAGTCTTTGAGTTAACCTTTCAAAAGGATATTAAATAATAATGTTTAATAATAATATTATTATCAATAATAATATTAATAATATTTAATAATAATAAATAATAATTATGAGTGCAGCCTTCCCCATCCATTCAGATGTGTTGGGCAATGTGTCCCACCATCCCCAGCCATGAATCGTGGCAGGACCCCAGGTTGGGAAAGATTGTTTACATTGGGAAGGACCTCCACCGTTGCGGAAGGGTTCCATCTTTGCACCAATGCGCTGCTGGTGTCCCTTTTTAATGAATGGCAAAGAGAAAGCCTAGTACTCGAATTGATGTTCTCGCTGCCTCTTTGGCAGAATTTGAAGCTAGGCCTAGTCATGAAATCAGTCTGTTGGGCAGTTCCGGTCTGGAGCTCTGCTGCGGCCCAGTTGGCCGGGGTGAAGCCGGGGGCTCGTCTAGCGCGGGTGGGCGGCTTTCGAACCAGACCTTTCCCATCGTGGTCAACTGTGAATCGCACATATAGGTTGCTTACCTGTAACCGTAGTTTCCCAAGTTGTCACCTGTGAATTTGCACATCCCCGCCCATCCTCCCCACTTGTCATGCCTCCTCCTTCTGGCTGCGTTTTGTGGCGGATGAAGAGAACTGGAGGCTGTAGCCCCTTATACTTATATAGGAAAAGTTGGGGCTCGTCTAGCGCACACAGCCAGCCAGAAGTGAGGCCAGCTTTCTAGCCAGACCTTTCTAACCAGACCTAGGTTGCTTACCTGTAACTGTAGTTTCCCGAGTGGTCACCTGTGAATTTGCACATCCCCGCCCATCCTCCCCATGTGTCATGCCTCCTCCTTCTGACTGCGTTTTGTGGTGGATGAAGAGAACTGGAGGCTGTAGCCCCTCCCACTGGCTACTTATATGGGGAATGTGGGCGGGGCTACCGCCAAAAATGTTTAATAACTCTCTAGAAGGTTCCGAAAGCTGTTCTGCGCAGGTCGCTGCGGTTTAGTTGGCCGGGATGAAGCCGAGGGCTTGTCTAGCG